GGAATTAAAGGCACAAACCATGATTTTAATTTCATTTCATTTCATTCTCTTTGGTAATTTGCAAGTGAAAACATTACAAAATAGGTGGTTTGGAGATTGAGTGATATGTACATGATTCTCCTAATGCTTGCATTACAAAACTTCCCAAGGTTCCATAAATATTTTACTGCTTTTCTTAGCCTGCTGGTTAATTTGAGACATTTTACATAATCTGCCCTTTTCAGCAAATGCCAGGGAGTAAAGTTTTTCTTCCTTATTATATTTGTTTCACATGATTTTTGCAGGAAAGCTATACTAACAAGGAATTTATATTATACTGTCCAAGCTCTCTCTCCTGGCTATATCCATCTGATATTTGGCATGCTCAATTTTGCTGCGTGCCTGATGACAAGGTTGAGAAACACTTTCAAAGGTGCAGGGGGAAAGGCATTAAAATGTATTATTTGCCTCTGTTAAACAGAAAGATCAAGTGGTGTAGAATGCTTTTCATCTGCAAAGTCAGGCACTAAGCCTTTTATCAGTTAAAGGTGCCAAGAGAAAACATATCCAAAAAGCTTCTTGTTGCTGTTTAAGCTTTAAGCATGTTTTCTTACTGTCTATAGCTAGGTTCTACTCGATAACAAATGCTAACCAGTCAAAAGAAAGCATCCTTTCTTCTGGTTGGAAAAGGTAATTTAGTAGTCTCCCACCTGTTTAATTCCCTGAAACAGATGAAAATATGATCCTTCACAGTATGTATTCTCTGTGACTTTTGTGCTCTACTTTTTGCCAGGCTTTTCCTGGACAGTGAGAATGATCTGTCTCTCAGATGGCTGCTGTGCCAGCTGCATGACCTGTTCTCACCTAATAACTGTAGCATTTGACAAAGTTGCTTCTATTCTTCAGGTATGCCTGTCTCCCAGGAAGAAAAATGTAATATTATTCTCGCTTTTTCTACATATTCTTCAGATCTAGATATTGTCTGGTAAAGAGAAAAAGCCCTACAAATATTAATAATTAAAAAAAAAATCACAGATAAAATATTTTACAAATAAGAAAAAAAAGCTTTACAAATAAAAATAAAGAAAAAATAGATGTAGAACATCTATTTTTTTTATGAGTTATATTATATAGTCATTGAGAATATTTGCCCTTATCAGGATGCTCCCTGACAAATACAGACAAATGGAATCACAATAAAATAAAATCAGTCTCATGCACACATGTAGTAACATGAGGAAGTCCAAAGATGAATGTATGAGTCTTTGACTCAGAAATGACTCTGGGTTAAAAATTTGCATGAAGGCGCTAAATCTGCTAAGCAAATTGCCATTGTGTTCCAAGAAGCATGTGATTCTTTCTGCTAGGGTTAGGTAGACTGCATGCATTCTATTTGTTCAAGATCATACTTGTTTCTCAGTCTTTATCACTGGGTTTAAGAAACTTAAGGAAATTAAAATGTTACACTTATTTCTCCTGTACACAGTGCCTATTTATTTAGGAGTATTTCTGTAACCTGCTGCTTTGAATTTATAGTATGTAAGTACGTTTGACAGATATGAGAAATTAAGGAAATAATGACTTTTCTTTTCTTATGATGAGAGCTTAACTGTTTATATTACTGCTTCTTCTGTGCTGTCTGATAAGGAGAATGATACATCAGGGAAACCTGTTCCTCTGCCTTTGTTGCATCATAGTACCGAGAGTCTTCAACACAGGATGGTTTACTGGATGCTTTAGAATGGCCTTCGGATTAGGAGTCCAATTCCATACTTCCATTTTGTGCTGGTTTAAATCTAAGGTTTCTGGGGAGGTTATGTCTGATTTACAGAAGCATAAGTGAGAACACAGGTAAAAAACAAACCCACAGACCCATTTAGGGATTTACTCCTAGGGGATATATTCCTATGTTTATATCAATTAGGCGCCTGTGCAGAGAAGAGATCTAAAAGAGGACTCCTCACTGCAGGCATTTAACACCTTTATATAGTCACACTGACAATACTGATCAGGAAAAGTACTTCATACACCTTTATAAAAAAGCTAACAAGCTCTTAAGACAGCAAAGAAATGTGGTTCTGCATATAGACTGTATATTTAAATGGCTTGAAATAAGCAACAGTTTGAACAGTTCATAACAATTCATTTAATTATTGATTTCTTACAAAAACATTTGTATATTGGCTAATGAAAGCCTAGAAACTTTTTTAAAATTTTGATGTTTATCATCCTGGACGATGTTCATAAATGATCATAAACAGAGATACATGTTCCCTAGCATACACTTGTACAATATTGATCAGATTTCAGACTTCAGTTGATCTCTTTCTTAGCACTTTCTGGAAAAGGTGAAGTGATTTACTAATTCCACCTAGATTGGAAGGAGGCAAAATTTGCAAGGAGAGGGAATACATTAATTAGACTAGCTCAAAATGGTGGAAAAAATGGACAAGCTTCCAAGCACACAAGGCTTACAGTGAGGCCCTTCAGAAGAATGAGCTTTGAGATCTTTCCTGAAAAAGCCCTCAGCTGGACTTCCAGGCCTTCTGCTGCAAAGGTAGTTGTCATGTCAATGGCTAGCATCACACCTGGTCATTGACAGGTCTTCAGGTGATGGACCCGGGCTTGGGTCGGTGTTTGGGTCTGATGATACACAACTATAATGAGAACTGGGTGTTTATAAAGGAGGAGTGGCAGAAGCTGAGGAAGAGGGGAACAAGGAGGGGTGCGATGCTGTGACACAGACATCCAAAGGAGAAAAAGCCATAGGACAGTCACTGTCAAGAAGAACCGGCCAAGGGGAAAGGCCTGTCTGCAGCTACCTGGGATAATGGGTAGGTCCTAAATTATGAAGGAGATGGCCAAATTCATGTGTCTGAGGAACAAGGCTACTAATATCTTACTGTGAGTTAGTGTCTGGATGTTTATGAAGTAGATGAAACACAAAATAACAGTGTGTTGCTTTTCTTCCCTGTGGGAGGTAGAAAACCCCAGAGACACAACAGAGTTTGGCATTGGATGAGATAAGATCCTGTTACACTGCTCCCACCTGGGAGCAACGCTGTGATAGTGTCTTAATACTTGTTGCTCCAAGTATGCTCGGCTGTATGCAGCCGAGAAAAGCAACTGACTTACTGTGTACTTGCTCCTTGTAAACAGAATCACAATCCACGCCATGATTGCTACACGATGTCTTCATAACCTCTTAGCAAAAGCAATAAATGACCTCTCCTCAGGACTTTCTCTACCCCAGGAATAGCCCAATTTAAAAATTGCTAGCTTGGTAACATCCTCCTAACTAACAGTAAGCAGGAGACCTGCTGTGAATAACTGCTGATGGTCAGAAAGCAAATAAAAATGAAATTCATTCTTTTCTTCAGTCATAGAATCACAGGATGCCTCAGGTTGGAAGGGACCTCTGAAGGTCATCTGATCCACCCCCCTCTGCTCAAGCAGGGCTGCCTACATCCAGTTGACCAGGACCATGTCCAGATGGCTTTTCAATATTTCCAATGATGGAGACTCCACGATCTCTCTGGTCTACCTATGCCAGTGCTTGGTCACCCTCACGGTAAAAAAGTGTTTCCTGATGTTCAGAGGGAGCCTCCTGTGTTTCATTTTGTGCCTATGGACTCTGGTCCTGTCACTGGGCACCACTGGAAAAAGCCTGGCTCCCCACCTTCTTTGCACCCTCCCTTCACGTATTTATATACATTGATGAGGTCCTCCCTGAGCCTTCTCTTCTCCAGGCTAAACAGTCCCATTTCTCTCAGCCTTTCCTCATAGGAGAGATGCTCCAGTTGCTTCATTATCTTTGTGACCCATTGTTGGACTCTCTCCAGCATGTCCGTGTCTCTCTTGCACTGAGGAGCCCAGAACTGGACACTACGCCAGGTGTGGCCTCACAAGTGCTAAGGAGAGGGGAAGGATCACCTCCCTTGACCTGCTGGCAATAAGTCTAATACAGCCCAGAATACCATTTGCCTTTTTTGCAGCCAGGGTACACTGCTGGCTCACACTCAACTTGGTGTCCACCAGGACCCCCATGTCCCTTTCTGCCAAGCTGCTTTCCAGCTGGGTGGCGCCCAGTATGTATCAGTTGTTCTTCCCCAGGTGCAGGACTTTGCACTTCTTGTTGAAATACATGAAGTTCCTGTCAGCTTATTTCACCAGATGAGTCTGGATAGCAGCATGACTTTCTGGCATATCAGACCCTTCTCCCAGTTTTCTGTCATCAGTAAACTCCCTGAGGGTACATGGTGCCCCACAGTCCAGGTCTTCAATTAAGGTGTTAAGCAGGACTGGATGCAGTATTGACCCCTGGGACACAACATTAGTTACTGGCCTCCAACTAGACTTCGTGGCACTGATCCCTACCCTCTGGACCTGGCCATTCATCCAGTTTTCAACCCACTTTGATCACTGTAGATAAGGAAAATTTAGCATAAGAGAGCATGCAATGGCACAAGTTTAGCTCTGTTGAAAGCAACAGTAAGGATCTTCACACCCTCAACTTGTGGCGTTGTTAAGCCAAACAGTAATGGGTATGTCCAAACAGCTTAAGTGACAACACCACCACAACTACCATGCCAGCACCAGACTGGATGGCTTTTTCTGCTCTTTACTGTGATTGCTTCATTTATTTTTTTCCTTCTAAACACTGTTCAAAGTATTAGTCTCAGGTAGTGAATCAGTGAAGAGGAGTCAAGAATCGAGGAACTCGTATTTAAGCCTCAAGCAAGACACAGACCCTTTTTCTTACTGTCATGGGTGGGGAACACAGAAGGCATCCATTTTCCAACTTGTTTTCTCAGTACCTAAATTGCATTTATTGGAACATGCAGGTATTTCTACAAGGTTTAGAAACACTTCGCTTGTACAGTTTAGAGCCATTTCACACAGCCTAGCTTCACTGAAGCATCTTTCTTCTTAGACTTGTTTTCTAAAATCAACCTTATGTCCTTTTTTGCCATTCTCAGGTACAGAGAGTACAACACCAATTGTAAGAAGGGGACACTTACTCAGTATTGTGTGTATCGATCGTGTGAAAAAGTTCATGCAGTTCTTCTTCACTCAGAACTCCATCAGCAAAGTAAGCTTTGAATTCATCAAAGGACAGTTTTCCATCATCTGAAACAATGAAGAAATTGAAAGTGCGTTAGTTTCATTTGTGATTTTGCTTGTGTACTTCAGGGAGTAGAAGAGGAAATTATTAAAAAATTCTAGCACTTCAGATTAAGTGTAGAAAGTTTACATATTCGATCAAGACACATAAAGAACATGATGTTAAATGCATCAGCTGTTGTATCAGAGTTCTCAATTTTATAGAATCATAGAATAGTTTGGGTTGGAAGGGACCTTTAAAGGTCATCTAGTCCAACCCCCCTGCAATGAGTGGGGACATCTTCAACCAGATCAGGTTGCTCAGAGCCCCGTCCAACCTGACCTTGAATGTTTCCAGGGATGGGGCATCTACCACCTCTCTGGGCAACCCGTGCCAGTGTTTCACCACCACCATCATAAAAAGTTATTTCCTGATATCTAGTCTAAATCTACCTTCTTTTAGTTTAAAACCATTACTCCTTGTCCTATCACAACAGGCCCTGATAAAAAGTTTATCCCCATCTTTCTTATAAGCTCCCTTTAAATACTGAAAGGCCTATGTCTCTGATGAAGATATTAAACAGTACTGGTCCCAATATTGACCCCTGAGGGACACCACTTGTCACTGATCTCCATCTCCATAGAGGCATTGACCACTGCCCTCTGCAGCCATCAGACCAATTCCTCATGCACTGAACAACACACCCATCAAACCCATATCTCTCCAATTTAGAGAGAAGGATGTTGTTGGGGACCATGTCAAAGACCTGACAGAAGATGACATCTTTAGCTCGCCCCTGTCCCACTGATGTAGTCACTCCATTACAGAAGGCCACGAGGTTGGTCAGGCAGGACTTGCCCTTCGTGAAGCCACACTGGCTGTCTTGAATCACCTCCCTGTCCTCCATGTGCCTGAGCATAGCTTCTAGGAGGATCTGTTCCATGTTTGCCTGATAACTCTGTTATTCTTCCTCCTTCTCATCTTTCAAGCAAAGATAATTGATTTGGTAAGTCTCTGCTGACAAACACATCAATACAATACTGTCTTTGCCCTGATCCCATTCACTGAGGCTTCACCCTGTCGTGCCCCACGCTTCCCCTACTTGCTCTCTGCCTGTGTCTTTACCTCTGCATGGAATATCAGTGACCTCCTAAGACTGAGGGGGACAGAGAAAACCCAGGGAAACACAAAAGCAAACATTTGTTGAAGGAAAATATTAGTTCAATGAAAATCTCTTCAGCTATCTAGATCTATCTAGATCTATTTATTTCCCTTTTCTTTTCCTCTTTCTTTGCTCTGCTCCCTGTCTCTCAGATGGGAGACTTAGACTCAAGTGCACAATTCAATAGCATCAGGGATCTGACCCTGGCTCTTCTCTCTAGCAAAGGACACTAATCAATACACTGCACTGATTTACAGCATTTTGATTCTCTCTTTCTTCATAAAATACATCTTTCTCAAAAAGCTCTGTTCTTGCTGTGAAATTAACAAAATAGATAAAAGAAAGTCTGATTTTCATGCAATAGGAAGCTAGGTTCGTGTCCTCTTCTGCTGGAAAGAATATCAGCTCATTTTCTTCATCAGCATAAAAAAGAAATTTCTATTTGCTAGCATGTAATTCGTCTGGAGATTACACTAAAATCTAGAAATGAGAAAACTGCTTTGGACGTATATCTGAGGTCAGTCAAAGTCCTCAGATGGATTTTCAGATTGAGTTTGGATTGGCATGTAATAATCAGTGAAGCCTGACTATGAAGAATTTTACTTTCCTCTAAGTATCTGCTGTGCTTATTTGTTTAAGACAGAACCAATCACCACCACATGATTGCTGATCATCATCAATAACATGGTTATGCAGTTGGGAAGTGCCTACAGGACTAATTGGACTTGAGGGAGGGGCAGTACGGTATGATAACATTTAGAAGAATAGTAATGGGTTATACATTAATTCAGGAGGAGTAAGTCCTTATTACAATCTCTACTGCATTATTTAGTGGAGTCTGTTTCATCTGTTTCTGAATTTAGCTTTAATTATAGCAAGCCATTGACTACATGAGGCAAAATCCTTGCGCTGAGATGCACTAAGTAGAGATTAATTCATGTCGTATTTTCAGGATGTTACCACTTCAGACTGAAGCTCTACCCTCCTTTTGTCAGGTCAAACTCTGCACAGTCATCTATGCTTTCTAAAGGGTATTCCAATAAATACTACAGCATTTCATCAAAGAATAGGTCACATTTTTATCTCACCTCATCTACATGCCTGAAAATCCCAGAGAAGGTGCTATACTGCAGACTTTCCATGCTTTTCTTTTTTGGGGGGCTTTTTTTTTGGATAAGGGTGGTCAGAAATTGATAAAATGTACCATAATTTGACATGGATAAAATGTAGCACAATGTGAACAGCCTGTCCCACCCACAGGGTGGCCATGGCTGCACTGACAGAAATAGCAGACTTAGGCTATTGTCTGTTTTTGAAAGTAGGATTCCGAAATGCAAGCAACATAAGACTATTAACTCTGGCCTCTAAGTATATCACAAGGACTATTTAAACAACATATGACAGTCAGCGCAACTGATCTGTTCCTGTGTGTATGATTCAAGGCTGAGAAGATGGAAACAATTAAAAGAAAAACTGTAAGATGATTCTGTTTGCTGAAATCACAGAATCACAGAATCAAGAATGTTTGGGGTTGGAAGGGACCTCTGTGGGTCATCTAGTCCACCCCCCCTGCCAAAGCAGGGTCACCTACAGCAGGCTGCACAGGACCTTGTCCAGGCGGGTCTTGAATATCTCCAGAGAAGGAAACTCCACAGCCTCCTTGGGCAGCCTGTTCCAGTGCTGCATCACCCTCAGAGTGAAGATGTTCTTCCTCATGTTCAGCTGGAACTTCCTGTGCTTCATTTTGTGCCCATTGTCCCTTGTCCTGTCACTGGGCACCACTGAAAAGAGTTTGGCCCCATCCTCCTGACACCCACCCTTGAGATATTTATAGGCATTTAGAAGGTCGTCTCGCAGCCAGGCTGCACAAGCCCAGTTCCCTCAGCCTTTCCTCATAGGACAGATGATCCAGTCCCCTCACCATCCTCGTAGACCTCCGCTGGACTCTCTCCAGGAGCTCCTCATCTTTCTTGAAGTCGGGAGCCCAGAACTGGACAGAGTACTCCAGATGGGGCCTCACTAGGGCAGTGTAGAGGGGAAGAAGAACCTCCCTTGGCCTACTGGCCACACTCCTCCTAATGCACCCCAGGATCCCATGAATGAACTAGAGCCTGGATGGGGCTTTGAAAAACACCGTATAGAAGGTGATGCAAGAAAGCAACCAATGCTTGTCAGCAGGATTTTTAAAAAGTGAAAGAAAGAAGTTTGTAAATGGAAAGCTGACCCTGCAGAAGTCCATGAGATTTTATCAGGGATCCTTCAACAACCGCTGACATTTGCTTCTGTCCTGAAGAACAAGTGTCCTCTTTTCTTTGCTGTACACTCATGACTTCAGAAGAAATACGTGGGTCAGGATGAGGCAAATCCATAACTCCATTATAATAGTTACGTCAATTTGCTCCTCATTGACTAGTGTATCTGAGTGAGTTTTAAATGCAAGACTGATAATCAGCTAACAAAAGCCAAAGAAAAATGTACCACCTTTTGCTTCTACTTAGAAGCTGGAATGGTTAAACGGTGGTTAAGTAATAATTTATCAGAACTGATTGATCCTTTGCATGAAGCATAGAGAATATTTTCAGAGCCTAACACTTCATAACTCTGTTTTGGGTAGCACTAAATTTAAGCTCATGTGACTCTTTCTCTTCCTTCAGTAACATACTCATAGGGCACTAAACAACTGTGGAGGATAAGGCTAAGATATCCTAAGCACCAGACAAATCTACAACATATTGTGGCCTAATTTTATAGTGGTGAAGAAACAATTATAAAGGCAGTATTCGAAGCCTGTAACTACATGCTGTACTACAGCATACAGATTTGAAGAGTAGAACGGAGGAGTTTCCTCACTGTTTTACTTGCTCTTATTTCATAATTTCTTTGACTTGAATATATGTCTTTGAATATGTAATCTTCAAGAGGTTTCAAAATTGGACAAATTGAATGCCTGCTTCAACAAAAACATTTTGAAATGTTTAATGTGAAAAGACAGATTGTAGCTGGAGATAATCATCATTATGATCAAAATAAAATGTCAGGATCTACAAGAGCTAAAAACCAAGATGGCATAATACTGTGTTGAAGGTAGGCAATTTTCTTTGACAGAACTGCCATGATTACCTAATTTGGAATCTAAATACATCTGCCATTTGGCATTGGTTACAGAGAAGGAATATCAAATATTGAGTGCGTTGAAATGAGCTTCTTTTCACAGCTATGCTTCCTTTGGCTCATATAGATACAATCGATTGTTTAATCAAACTGCCTCTGTAGCTTTAGCCTTTGCTGGGAAGGGTGATTTGCATGCAAGTTACACACATACTCAAGAAACTAGTGATTTTTGGCAACTTTTCTGAGATAAACATATTATGAGTTTACTCACAGAACAGTCTGGGTATGACACAAAACCTGAAACATCTGTCTGTTTATCTCTCTTCTTCAGGATCATTGGCTTTACATCAATCCAGAAAATCAATGATCTGCCAACAGTCAGATTGGGCACTTTAGCTATTTGCTTCAAATTTTATCATCCAAGAGCAGACATTGCATTTTGTTTCATTGCTGTTTATTCTCAGTAACATTTTGAATGTTATTGACAGTGACTGACACATCACTGAGCTTGTTGCTGGCAAAACCCGAGGAGATTTGAACCTATTTGGTTACTTACAGACTTCATACTGTTACGTTTACTGAAAAAAAGCTCCAGTTCTCCAAGGCAGTTCTTTGATTTTGTATGAGTGTAACTGCTTTGCTAGTGCAGCTTGGGACTTAGCCGCTGGCGGCCCAGGCCACCCCTGCGCTTCCTCAGATGAAGGTCGGACCCAACCCCTAACAAGCGCTCCTTGTGCTGTTTAATTGAAGACA